TTAATTGTATTAATTTATTAATTATATTAATTTATCAGTTACATTAATTTATTAATTATATTAATTTATCAGTTATATTAATTTATTAATTACATTAATTTATCAGTTATATTAATTTATTAATTATATTAATTTATTAATTAAATTTTCGTCAAAAGAATTATTAAATTTATATTGATTTATATTAGTCCTAATTTATATTATTAATTTCATTCCTCTAAGAATAAACTAAAATTGGGGGCAAATATTAAAATCAAGAAACGATCAAAGAATGCTTTTTCAGTAAGGGTGGATAAAGCGTAATGGAATAATGAGAATAGGCAATTAACAGGATTTTTTAATGTCTGATGATACGCCGCATCTGGATTGGGGATATTACTAATACAGTTCAGGATGTTTTTCATACTAATCTTCGGCAGTACTCTATCTCATTGGTGGTGTTGCAGGAGAGAGTTGGTTGAGGAAGTCGTTCGATGCCGGCGGTCAGTATCGTCCATTCGACTTGAATGTACCGAAAAAACTACCGATGCGTAAAGATGGCCTCAAAATGCTTGCACGTGACCCACCTCTGACCGAAATTGGTTGTTTGCAAGCCAAAATTACTGGTACTTTTTTGCGTCACACATTTTTAACACATGACACTTGAGACCAATCCTTCTATTCTACTATTTAACACACACACACACAAATTTTTTGACCAACACATTTGCATGAAATTTGAAATTCGAACGTATAGCAGCTCTTTTTACTGCGTCTTTACCCTGCAAACATTCCTGGATCTGTTAGTTCTCGAAAAATGTTATCCCGGTCTTTTGAAGTCATTTCGGCGCATTTCTTGCGTTTTTACACATCCCCCTTCCCCCTCCCGCGCCCCTGTGCCAGAAAATGGCTAATATTTATTCCATAAGCTGCCTGAAATGGCTTCTTCAGGTCGAGCTTTAAGGGATCAGAATGTGCAAATTGATCAGGTTTATTGCTCGCCTTCGTTGCGATGTGTGCAAACTGCTGTTGGAATTATCAAAGGTTTGTGAAATAACGTACCGCTTAATTTTTTTTTTTTTTTTTTACTCATTTTGTCCGAAGTGTCGAAATGAAAAAAAAAGTGTCGAAAAAAAGCCATAGCGCTGAAAAGTAATAATCGAAATCTGACATGCAGGTATGGAAAGTCGTACGCTGAGCATCAACATTGAGCCAGGGCTTTATGAATGGACGCGCTGGTGTGGCAGCGAGCTACCATCATGGATGGAGGCAGAGGAGTTTGCCAAACTAGGTTATCCAGTCAATGATTGCTACAGTCCTGTGATGCGTCCGGCTGATCTATGGCTAACGGAAACACTGAATGATTATTATGACCGATCTTTTGCGCTTATCCGTGAAATACTCCGAAACCATGACAAAGGTAGTTTTTTTTGCAAAAATGCTGATAGCAGAGGCATGCTTGAATTTACCGCCCTAAAGCTTACTCACACTCTTTTTCTGTGCGTTTACATGTGGTTTACCTAAAAAATTTTTTATTTTCCCAACATGTAAGTGTGGAATCTTGCATTTCTGGACCCATTTATTCATTTATTTGCCACATTTTGGCATTTCCCAACATTTGGCTTCCTTTGGGCCGGCTTTTCCGTTTCCGTGACTGAATTCTCCCTTTTACTGAATCTTCCACTCGATGTCTAATTTTCGTATATTTTTCGTAGCATACGGATAGTTTTGGCGTCTCTTTCGTAGCACATCAGTGAGTGGCCGCCTCTCCATTTTCCTTCTCTTTCACTGTAGCATAGTTATTGCGCTGTCAACGAAAAGGAAATTTGTCGGGGAAGAGCATTGCGGTTTTTATTCATAGCTGTGCAGAGAGTTTTTCACTTCGTCTGCGATTCATAATTAAATTTGTTGCAAAAAATGCTTGTCTGGAACTCTGTGTTTTTTTATGTTGTAGGGACTGTTCTTCTGGTTGCGCACGGGCCATCAATGGACGCGCTGACAAGGCAGATCTGCGGCGGTGCTCCGCGAACAGTGGAAGAACTTATGTCAAAACTTCGTCAGATACCATATTTGGCATGCTTACAAATCCAGGAGCAGTGCAAATCGGGCGATACTGATAGTCTGAATAATAAAAATGGTGGTAGCAGCGAAGTGTGGAAATATGCTGGCTCGCCAATACCCTCACTCACACATTCTGCGAATCCTTCATTTGATCCTGAGTTCGTGCTTCTCTTAATTGCTATGGAAATTATCTAAAACTTTTTGAAATATCATAGAAGCTAAGTTGGTACAGTTCTCAGATCCTCCTTCCCAAAGTGCTCATCTTAATATGCGACGCTAAACTGTGGCTGTGAATTTCGAGATTCAACAAGTCTGAAAATGAACTGTGAGGAACAGGCACAATTTATGTGCTGTTATATTTCAGGATTTTGTCAGGACCAGTCCGCCATACGTTGTTTGGTTGAAGATGCAAAGCTGGCTGTGATATCTTGTAATGAAAATTGTTCTGAATAGGATCGCACCTGTATTTATGTATGTATGTAGCTCTAGATGATTTATACGGCAGCTTTCGCGGTTTTATGCTTTTTTTTTGCTGTTTGTGCAAAGAAAAATTATCTTATGACGAGATCACAGCTGTATTTATGTGTACATATGTATGTATGTATGTATTTGTGTGTACGTTTATGTGTTCCTGAAGAAATATCGAAGCTGAGAAAAACTAAAATTTTGGAATAAAGTTCCCCGTCGAGTACGAGGCAAAAAAAAAAAAAAAAAAACTGGGATCAACTCACACCGTTCCTGTTCTGATATGTGACTTCAGATTCAAGTGCAAACTATCTAATCTCAGAGAAGAAACAGTTAGAAATTTGGAGTTTTCGGATTCGATGTGCAGCAATGTGAGGCTTGCTTGTCTCGAAATCGGATTTAAAGCCTTCCTGCTCCCCTAACTTGTGACCTCAAGTTGCAATTTCGGGCTGATTTCCTGGACGAAACAAGCTACGAACCCGAAGACCAGGGGTTCGTTATGCGATCAATAATTCGGGGAACAATCACAATGAG